GAGAGAGAGAGAGCAAACTGTATGCAGCATCTCAGTATTCCATCACAAGGTTGGAGGATAAGATTTGAGATCGAACTAATACACAAGCACACTACCAACATCACAAGCGTGCCACTTCACTCTCATACCAAACAGCGCACCTCTTTCTCTGCAGAAAACAAACTGGGTCTCTTTCTCTACAGAAGACAAACTGGATCTCTTTCTCTAGTCGAGACAAATGGGATCCCTTCCTCTACTCGAGACATAGTGAATCTCTTATCACTATGACCAAACAAGAACCATCAGCAGTTTTGATTTTGAGAGGGTAGTGAAGAACTTGATTCAGCAACCAAGGCTGCCTTCTAAAAACTGCCACATCAACCCTGGAAGGGGCAAAACAATGATTGAGGAATTTGAGGCAACCATATGGTCCACATCTCAGAACTCGCTACGTCTCTGTTACGATTTACAATAGAATATGGCCTGTTCATTCAAGCAACCGCCCCAGAAATGACCCTTCCCTTGACATCATGAATGCATCCCATTCTACTTCCCGATGCCGAGAATAAAGGAGGCAGAAACAGCTCAGCAGAGGATAAGCGATGCGCAGGAGGCAGGCTTAACCAAGAGGCTACAAGAAAATCAGGTAGATCTCTCCCAGTGGTCTGCCCAAGGCATAGAGCAAGCGAACGCTCATTCGAACGGTGCCTATTCGAATCAACAATAGACAGCAAGCAAAACAGTGAAAACACACACCACAGCCTGGAGATCCATATGACAATATACAACAACGCAGTGAGATGGGAGCAAATGACTGCCTATTCATGGCATCATCCACACATGTCCAAAGTAGTTTCTCGAGAATTCTTGACTCCTAGCAAAGCCAGCTTCAAAATGCAGCTGGGAAGCTCACCAAATGGCTCAAAACAATTTAGACGGAAGAGTAAAATCTTGCCCTTAATTCGGATAACCGGAGATAAGAGCCATAAGCAAACCGGAATTTGAAAACGACACGTTCCCGTGTGCCTGTGCCTTCTGGTACTCTGATCGCCAAGGATATTTCTAAAGTTATTTCAAAACATAAGCTTTGAGGTGACAAATCCCATTGCAAGCGTGCACCGTCAACTAACGCGCTCCAAAAACTGCAACGACGAGTTGACCGGCTCCTCAACCCAATATTATCCTCCGTGGTGCTCTCTCTACTATGTACTCACAACAGACTCATTTTGCTTTTGTACTAATGAAACATCCCCAAAAACTTGGCATTGGGCAGTAAAAGTCATCAGCCCACAGCCGCAAATTATCACTTGATCAGATCCCTGCAAATTACAGACAGTGTCTCTCTCCGGGCCTCCCTATTCTTCCTTGGACGACTCCCGTGTCATACAGAAACCCACTCCACCTGCACAGCAGGCAGGGGCAGCCAATGTCAGATATTTTGATCAGATTTCCGCTGACCTTCTCGTTATCTGTTTAACAGAGACAACGGCATCTACAATATCTACATAGTATAGACCCACGCTCTGGGAAAAACAAAACCAAAGTGATCGAGTTAAGTCAGGCGTGAGAAGGAGCATTAACAAAGGAGAGCTGAGTTTTCCCACTGTTCCCTTCCCTCTACAATGCAAATTACCTCACTCAGCAAGCTTCGCATTCAAAGAAAACCAGATGCACTCCCACGGGAGTCAGATACTCTCACGATGGTCCACGACGCATATTAGAGCAAACTCAGAGTCTAAACAACAAAACTGAGAACAAAAATCACACTAACCATGGTGAAGTCGAGTGAGAAATTTGGAACCTATGATCACCTATCACAAAGCTAAATCCTCAGAGATGATGTTCAAGCCATATACTGTGATGGTAATAGTCACATGCAATTGGCACACTCCGAGGGTCCATTCCGCTTAGTGAGTGCACTTATTATGAGGACCATTCACCGCCTTCTGAAAAAAAAAAATCTTATGACTGATATTTCGATACACAGGACGCATAACATAGACATTGTGATTCCTCTCTCTCACACCAGCCAGTAAGGAAGAATGAGCAAGCGTAGGACCAAGAGAAAACAGTGGACTGAAACCAACGATACCAACTGGACAATGGTGGTGCTTCTGAGTCTGACACCTTATGCTTGTTGAAACAGACGCAGTGAGAAAAAGTTCAGTGAGAAAACGTTGAGTGAAACAGAACTATTGCTTGAAAGAGCTTTGGAAAATGTACAGTCAAGGACAGGGTTGAACAAAAGCAAAATCCCAAGCCTCCAAATCTCATGCTGAGTCCAAAAGATTGATCAGAATCATGTAGCTAGAGGAGAAGTGTCTAGCCCCACGATGAGCCCTGGACGAATGGTCAGAGAACGTGCAAAGAGAGGCCTTGTCCGGTGAGGCATCGACTTACGTTCCTTTGAGCCCCAGAGTCTCAGAGAACCTAGCCCCTAGAATGCAGCCCTAGACCTACTGGGAAAGACACCCTAGAACTCCATCAAACCACCACAGCTCCTGGACCCCTTCAGTGATTGTAGGCCATGGACTAGGCGTCGATGCCCGGGCGGGTGCGTGGTGACCATGGGGACAGTGTTCAAGTGGAGGAGGGCCCGGGGGTGGCGGATGCGGAAGTAGCGGGTTGGGGGGCCGCGGATCCGGGTGCCTGACGTGTGAACTGTCCGACATTTCGACAGTTTGTCTGTTGATGTCCTAATTGTCGGCACCGGAAACAACCACCCTTTGCTTGGAGGTAGGTACGCTCCTCCGGCGTTGAGACGGGTTGGGTGGGTGTTCATGGGAGGATGGCTGGAGCGTCCTCTCTTTTCCATTCGCATGAGGTGAATGGCGGAGTGTTCGTCAGAGGAGAGTGATGTGGTGTCTACTGGATCGGAGAGGATGTCGGGGTCAACGCACGGACGTATTGGACAAAGCGGTCGGTCGGGCCGATCTGCCGAAGACGACAGAGTTGCTCAAAGTAGTCATCGACCGTCTTTTGTGGTCGGAATGTGCAGGTGATGAGATTGGCCCACTGAAGGAAGGAATGGGGTTCCTTGTTTGTGTGTTGGCGGTTAGCTCGTTCGGTGTACCACCAACGAGCGGCGCCTTCCTGTAACCTGGTGCTGGCAATAGGGAGCCAGTGTGTGACAGGGACGTTGTGGAGGGAGAAGGCGTCGTATAGTTTGCTGAGAAAGACAAAGACGTCCTGATATCCATTGACCGGAAGGATGGTGGAATGTTACCCATTAAGGGTGTTGTGGTAGCGAGGGTGTTGAAATCAAGTTTGGGTGAGGAGGACGGTACCCGAGTGAAGTCGGTAGTGGGATTGGTCGGGAGGAGTGTGGATGAAGGAGGTACTGGGATAACGGGGAGCAAGGCTTGAGGTGTGGGGGTGATCTGGGTATGGGTGGAAGTGATAGTGGGAAGTCATGAGGGGTTTTGATTGGGAGGGAATGGTTGATGACTGCATGACGGTGGGGATTGTCGTCTTGGTGACCAAGGTGGAGGTAGTGGTGGATGAAGGTGGAGGTGTGGATGACGTGCCAGTGGAGGGGGGGGTGGATGTCGAGGACGGGGTGATTGGTGTAGATGTGGAGACGGAGAATGGGAGAAGGGTGATGGCACCCGAGGTGGGGAGGGGGGGGGATGTGGTGGTGACGACCTGGATGGCTGGGGTGTGACTTTCAATGGTGGTCACACGAGCAGACATGGAGGAAACGGATGTTTTGATGTCGTCCATGGATGACTGGAGGGATGTCATCATGTGGAAAAGTGCCGCGAGGTTGATGACGGCATCGGGTGCTGGTGTTTGCTCGCCTACAAGGTTGCCGGGGATGCTGTTGACGGAGTCGGAGCGGATGTTGGACATATCAATGCTGGATGATTGGTCCATGCTGGGGGAGGAAGCGGTGGTAGCGGCGGCTGAGTAGTTAGCAGCAGATGAGGTGGAGGCGGCGGCAGCAGCGGCGGCGGCGGCGGCTGCGTGTTGAGAGTTCCTGGTTGAGCGTGGCATTTGGGTTCCTATTTACAAGAGCATCAAAAGAAGATAATTTACAACAAAATAATAATAATAATAATAATAAATTTTGCAAAATTAAAGTGGATTAATTCCGATTCGAATTAATTAATGTTATTCGAGGTTAATTCGAGAATACGCCCTGAGAAGAAATTCAAGACGAATCTGAAGGACGAAAACTTGCAAAACGAAAATTTCCAGAAAATTTTGCTGAAAATATCAAAAAAGGGAAAAAGGAGATACTTAATTTCGAAGAAAAATAAATTCCGATTTGGGTTTAATTTTATTCGAAATTAATTTTGGGGTATGATTTTGCAAAAACTTGAAAATTTTGAAAAAGGACTTGAGTAATGCTGAGTCAGAAGGTGTTTTCGAATTTCAAGAAAATTCCAAAAAACAGGGTTGCCGGCGTTCGGGACGGACCGAACGCCCAAACCCGAACGCCCGAAGGTACGGGACCACTTCGGAAGGCGTTCGGCCGTTCGGGCCGGACGAGGACCAAAAAAAAAAAAACAAGTTTTCAAAAAATTCCGAAAAAAAAAAATGTTATGGAGAAAAATAAACTAACCAACATTTGCCTGGGCACTACATCCAAATTCTTTACCAAATTTGAATTAAAAATCAAATACAAAAAATAAACACTATGATAAAAATAAGAAAAAATAAAAAGAGAATTAAAATGAGTGAATGTGCCAGCACCTTTTCGACACCGCCATCTTCGCCGATTTTTAATTATTTTTTGGCATTGACAAATGCCCTGAAAATTTACAGATATGTAGTTTACATAATCAATAACTCATTAAAAAAAATCAAAAAGTAATAAAAATTTTTAGGCCCCGAAATAAAGTGAAAACAAAATGTTAAAAGTGAAAAAAAAAAAAATAGTGAGTGGGCGAGCACGTTTTGACACCCCTGCAATGACTTGCTGATTTCTACTGCCGAGATCGACTGCGAGGCTGTATAGTACAGCGGTAGGCTAGATTCGCAATTTTGTTTGGCTGAGGGCTAACCGAGAGACCTACCTGTGAGGAAATTCGTGAGGGACATATCTGCAAATTCGGGAAAAATACAGCCCTAACACTAACTGAGTTTCCTACCACTACCGTAGCTGCGAATAGCGGGCCCGGGCTACCCCTAGGACAGACAGGCCCTAAGGGCCTATGCTGATAGACGGTCCTATAGCCTATAGTCGGGTCCGGTAGAGGCCGAGAGGCCGAAACAGAAACGGTACCGGTCGGTCAGTCAGTCCGGTCTAGGTCTAGTCTAGGGTAGCTGTAGTCTATAGATAGGTTAGGCACATCGGTTCAGGACTTTTTGGAAGTTCATTTCTCGCGAAGCAGCGTTGGAGAAGCCAAGCAAGTTGGTGGCGGTGACTGTCTGCAAGCGGCACCCTGAGACCTCGCCGTTGACAGCAACCACAGCCGACCCAGTCTGAGTCTGCCATAGCTGGGGCATCCTCAGCGGATCTACCCCTGAGGTATCTGCGTCTGGCCGGGCTACATCGAGGCTCTACACTGTGTACTCGTGGGTGGTGGCAGCCATAGCTGCCTGTTCCTTCGTCAGAGTTGTCCATCGACACTGAAGACTTCATCGCAGGACCTGTTCTTCATCAGGGTGGTGGGCGCTGGCCTCTGGGAGGCCATTCTGATGTGGCGCTACTAACTAGGTGTAGGATAGAGAGTGGGGTGCGAGTTCTGAGAGTGGCGAGATACTGGAACAAACTCTGTTACGATAATTGTTTGAGTTGGCTCATCATCAGTGCAATTTCAATTGTTATCCTCGCAGGTTCTACTTGTGATTGGTTGTTGGGAGTTTGTCAGAGAGAGAGAAACACTGTGTGCCTTCTCCCCAAATGTGCATGGTTGACTTCCGCTGCCTATTTTTATCGGTGTGCAGTTTGGACTATGTCTCCTCTCCCCCTTCTCTTAGGCATGTATGGGCATGTATGGGATTGTTTGTGTGTGAGTTGCGGTAAAAATCGTCAGACAACCAAGTTCATAACATTTGGTATCGGGGCAGGATTGGAATTGGAACACTGAGGGTTGAGCGCACTGAGGCATCTTCTTCATCTGGCGATATACTGGCGAGAGCTTCATGGCGATTCATCTTCCCCAGTACTGAGTCAGCAGGGAAGAAGACTTTCTGCGGTGGATTCAATGTTCAGTGTTTGCACTGAGCAAGCGCACTGAGCCTGTCAGGGCGCTTGTCAGGAAGTGGCGAGTTCAGGGCTAATTCGCCAAAGCCAACCCTGAGGGTAGTGTTGCGAATTACCCCAGAGTGGCGAATTACCCCTGAGGACACCAAGGAACCCTGAGCGGCATCATCCCTGGGTAGCGCTGGCAGAGATTGACACAGTATATCAATCTCCTGAAGAAATAACCCCATCTGGGGCTATTTTTAGCATCAACGGCTACCAGGCACTGTGGCGAGATATTTTGTTGTTGGCTATCCGGGCGCCACAAGACCAGATACAGTGCATCTGGAGTAAGGGAGTGCAGCACCACAGGATCCTGAGGAGGATCAATGAGTTTGAAGCAGTTCTATGCGTGGGATTGTCAGGAGGAATATCTGGAAGATATTGGCGAGATAAGGGTCATCATCTGCCATAGCCAGATCTTCATCAACACCTGCAAGATTCTATGAAAGTGAGTCCGTTCCATGCACCTACCTGCATAGCGATCCAGATAGGATTAGATTAGTCAATTATAATGGTCTATCTGTCTGTTAGTGACTGGATATGAAAATCGCAGACTGCATGACAGCCATAGCCATCTCTCCCCTACCTCTCTCTGTTCAATTCTAACCCTCTGTTGACTCTTTCTGATCCAAAATTGCTCTGTGACTGCTATACTGCATTGCGATTGATCTGGGATACTCGATCTGTGTATTCTGTACTGGAAAGGTAGTGATGCTGTGAATTGCAGTTTTGCGCTGAGTCTATTTATAGCCTGTGCTAACTAGGGTCAGTCACAACTTCAATTCTGTCCGTCAAAATTCCATTCTGTCAGTCCCCAGTGAATCGCAATCCAAAAATAGACACTACTACAGAATCGCATGATTGGATTTACAGTATTTCACTGGATACAGTGAATACTGTACTTCGCCATATCCCAAAGTCATTAGGGTCTAAATTGGAGTCTGAGCTAGGTCATAGGGTGTCTGTCTGAATCGCTTGTTATGGTTGATCTCTCTTGTCAGTATTAACCATCTTCTATCATTCTCACTGATGGCACTTGTTTTCTAGTGGGCTCTGGAAATCTAGAGGGTCTCTGGAAGAGTAGTGGAGGGACTCTACTAACTCTAGTGTGGTGCAGGGTCAGTAAAAGGAAATCGTGTGCATGATTTTGCTGGACGTACAGTCTGTCTGACACCTGACCTCGGAGACACCCTTCCAACCCAAACCGCTGATTGCCCATTCACCCACCTATTCCAGTGTCTGAGTTTTGCAGCGATTCCAGGGTGTATGAAGGAATCTGATTATCGCTGCACACTCTGGTTGCTGTTTTTATTTTGGTATTTTGATTTTATTCTGAAAAAGGGAAATGTCTAACCAGGGGGCTCAGCAGCAGCCACAGGTGGAAGTGGTGATGAAGGTGGAAGGTCAACAACCTTCAACCTCCACTCCTCCTTCTCCACCTCTGACTGCTACTCAGCAGGAAAAGAAGGAGTTGCAAGAGCAGCTGCGGCGGCAACAGGACCGGCTTGCAGAGTTGGAACGTCAGGAGACAGCAAGCTAGAGGCTGCAACAGATTATTCCAGAAGGGAATATCTGTTGCAGCAGCTAGACAAGGTGCTCTCAGATGACCGTTGCGCACAGGTGACTAAGCACCTGGCAAAGATGATCATTCTAGAGCACAAGATCACCAATTCCCACTTCACGAACTGGGATCATCGTTTTGATCGTTTGGAGAGTCGGGTTGACAACCTGGCCGCTCAACAGTCTAAGATTCTGGATGCGATTCAGAACTTGATTGCTCAGCTGTCAGCCGCCAAGCTGATTGCTCCTCAGCTCCCTCTGATAAAACCCAAACCTTCTCCTCCTCCTACCCCTCCATCTCCCCCTCGATCAGTGCATTCTTCCCAGACACCACCTCAGTCCCAAAGAGCCTCAGGCAAAGCCACCTATGCTGCTGTTACTGCAGGAGATCAAAGAGGTCCCAAGATCCCTGCACCCAACAAGTTCAGGGGTGATGACCTCAAGACCGATGTTGGGGATTGGGCTGCAGGGACCACAGCCTACTTGAGGGGCTTTGTTTGCCCAAAACAGACCAAGGTGGCAACCGTTCTGGGACTGCTGGAGGGGCCTGCACAAAAGTGGGCAACTTCAACCTCCAGCAGTCTACAGCAAACTATGGAGGACTGGGCTTTGGGACTGGGAGTGGACACGCTTCTGCAGGCCTTGGAAGATCGCTTTGCAGACAAGGAGCGGGCCTGCAAAACTGCTAACAGGATTGCTCGCCTGGGACAACAGCGCTACAACGGCTGCCTGCAATCCTTGTTTGCAGAGTTCGAGCAGCTGACTTCCACACCAAGACTGGTGATGTCTGCAGATGACCTACTGACAAACTTCTGCAGGGCAGCCCCTGAGAAGTTTTCAGTTGCATTGTACAACGCTGGACACAAGGACTGGAGGTCCTTTGGCCGTGCAGCCCTGGACATGGAGGCAAAGCTTCATGTTCAGGCCCCATCCTCTGACAGGAGGAAAGGTGCCTTCCCTAGAGGTGGTAGAAAGGGAAAGGCAGCCTTTACTCATGCGGGATCTGCATCAGGTTCAGATTCAGATTCCTAGGTTGATACACCTTCAGCTGGGACTGGATCTGCTGCGGATACAGATGTTGCAGCAGCCTTGACTCAGGTTGTTTTGGGAGTTCTGCAGCAACAGAAGAGGTTTTCCCCCACCACGGCCTCAGCCAGTGCAAAGGGGAAGGAAAAGGGACGTCGGCCTTCCTCTTCCCAGCGCCCTAACCTGCCCAAAGACCTCTGCATGCCAGCTGACCCACTCAATCCCTCCACACTCCCCTGGCATGACCTCAAGATCCCGGAGGGAGTCTGGAGAAGAAGGAAGGAGCGAGGGGTCTGCCTGAGATGTGCGGGACAACACTTCTTGAAGGACTACCCTTACATGTCAGGCCCCAGTCAGTCAAAAATCTGAAATAGACCCTGGGGACTGCAGTTCCCCCAGCGCTGCCCCTTCATCTACGCAGGTAGATGAACTGGCAGCTGTTTCAGTTGAGATAGGTTCAGATTGTTTGGGGACTGTGCGCGCAGAATCCTTTTGCTATGAGGATCCTGACCCGGATCAGGACCCGGAGCAAGATCAGCTTCAAGCCCTTGCTGCCTTCTTCCTTCATCTGAAGGAACAGAAGAAAAGCAAGTCTGATCTCATCATGCTTCGGCCCTTGATCAACCGCACCAGGATCACTGGGCTATTAGACTGTGGAGCCACCAGGAACTTCATGTCTCCCAGTGCAGTTAAAAAACCGCAGCTGGGCATGAAAGTTCAGCAGCTGCAGCAACCGCTGCTGGTGAGGATTGGTGACTCTACAATACTCAGCATCAGGGAGAAGGTCAAGGGTATCCCTGTGACCTTCCACAGTGCTGGAGAAGTCACACACAGTCTGAACTTCTACATCTTCCTTGAGCTGCCCTTTGACTTGGTATTCTCTATGCAGTGGCTGAAGGCAGTCAACCCAAGGATCGATTGGCAGATCCCAAAGGTTGAGCTACCTAATAGCCAGGGTGTGTATCAGCCATGCATGATTGTCGCTGATCACGACCCTGAGACATCTTGCTACTGCCTGAGAGCGAGGGAGTTTTATTCTCTCTCCCGCCAGTACGACCATGAGCGTCTGTTTATTGCTTTGGTCAAGCAAATAGATGCTCCCCCTGTTTCATGTCCTCCTGAGATACAGCAGGTGGTTAACAAGTATGCTGATCTGATGCAGGAGCCCTTTGGATTACCCAACCGGCCAACCAAGCATCACATTGAGTTGCTGCCTGGAGCGGTCCCTCCCAAGGGCCGCATCTACAGGATGTCCCCTGCTGCGCTAGAGGAGCTCAGAAAGCGGCCTGAGACCCTGATCAGCAAGGGCTGGATCAGACCCAACACTTATGAATTCGGTGCACCAGTTCTCTTTGTACCCAAAGGGAATGGCGAGTTCAGAATGTGTATTGACTACAGGGGTCTCAACAAGATCACTAGGAAGAGTACWRAGCCACTTCCTAGGATCRACGACCTCCTGGASATGGTGCAGGGCTGCACAGTGTTCAGCAAAGTCGACCTCAAATCTGGCTACCACCAGATTGAGATGGCAGAGGAGGATGTCTACAAGACAGCCTTCAAGACCAGGTATGGGACTTACGAGTTCCTGGTCATGCCATTTCGACTTTGCAACGCCCAGGCACCTTCCAAACAGAGATGCACCGCATCTCCAGGCCTTACCTGGACAAGTTTATGGTTGTCTACCTGGATGATATCCTGGTATTCAGCAAAACTGCCAGGGAACATGCGGAGCATTTGGCTCTTGTCCTTCAGTCGCTACGTGACAGCCAGTACAAGATCAACAGAGAGAAGTCCTCTTTTGGAGTTCCCCATGTTATCTATCTGGGTCATGTAATCTCTGGAGATGGTCTGGCTCCTGAAGCAGCCAAGATTGCTGCGATCCAGGAGTGGCCTCAACCACAGGCAGTGAGGGATGTCAGGTCCTTCATGGGACTAGCCTCGTACTACAGAAAGTTTGTCAGGCTCTTTTCTGCAGTGGCTGCACTCCTGACCAACCTAACAAAGAAAGATACTCCCTTTCTTTGGTCCCTTTCCTGTCAGTTGGCCTTGACTCGTGCGCCTGTGCTGAAGCTACCTGACCCCACTTTGCCATTCATCGTGACCACTGACGCCAGTCAGTATGGCATTGGGGCAGTTCTTCAACAGGATGATGGGAATGGTCTACGGCCTTTTGAGTTTATGAGTAAGAAGATCAAGACTGAAAAGCTTCAGGACTCCACCTACGAGAAAGAGCTATATGCTCTTGTCTGTGCCCTGAAACATTGGAAGCACTTTCTCCTGGGAAGACACTTCAAGATCTTCTCAAATCACTCCACCTTACAGTGGATGAAGTCCCAGGGAGAGTTAAATGACAAATTGGCACGGTACATTCAGTTCAAAGACATGTTTGACTTTGAACTGAAGCATAAGAAGGGTTGCTACAACAAGGTAACAGATGCCCTCTATCGTAGGCCTGACTCTTTTGCTCTCATCTCCTCTACTCACTCCTTTGGAGAGGAGACCCGTCAGACCATTGCTCGTCTACTGCCTCAGGATGAGACTTTCGGACCCATTGTCAGGAATCTGCAAGAAGATCCTAACTTTGATCCAAGCTATGCTCTGAGTTCAGACCTGCTGTATACTTACAGTAGAGGGGAGGAACGCTTGTGCATTCCCCAGGACCAGCGGCTCAGGACACTGCTGATGTCAGAGTGTCATGATGCCCGTGGACATTTTGGGTTCCTAAAGTCATATGCAGCCCTGTCGCAGCGCTTCTTCTAAAGGAGATGCGTAGTGATATGCTGCGTATGTGGACACCTGTGAGCTTTGCCAAAGGAATAAGGTCCAACGTAGACCTCCTTTGGGACTGCTCAAACCCCTACCCATACCTGATGGCACTGCTGAATCTGTGTCGATAGACTTCACAGATTTAGGCAAGACCACCCCTCGTGGCATGCGTCAGGTTATGGCCTGCGTGGACAGGTTCTCCAAATACGCAGAGTTCATCCCCTTGCCAGAGGTAGCTAGAGTCCCGGCTGTGAGAGCAGCCTTTTCAGAGAGGTGGGTCACACACCATGGGCCGCCCACTTCTATAGTCAGTGATCGAGATCCCCGATTTTGCAGCGATGAGTGGCAGTCCTACTGTAAGGACTATCTGCACTCACAACTGGACATGACTTCTGGTCATCATCCTCAAGCCAATGGTCTAGCTGAAGTGATGAACCAAGTCTTATTCCAGCTACTACGTCCTGTCATCTCTCCAGATCAACAGGACTGGGATCTTCACTTGGCTCGTGCACAGCTGATGTACAACATGTCTGTCCATTCCTCGACTGGGTTCAGTCCCTACCGGTTACACTGGGGGTATGAACCACGACAGCCTCTCGATGACATCATCGATAAGGCTAAGCCTGATCTGACACCAGGCAAAGCAGAGTTCACCAGACGTTATCGTATAGATGTGGAAAGAACCCGTGCGAACTTGTTCAAAGCCCAAAAGGCTATGATTGAACAAGCTAATCGCCACAGGCGGCCCTCCCCCATCCGCACTGGTGATCATCTCTGGGTGGCCAGTTCTGAGTTGTCGAGGGAGGAGGATATCTCCCCCAAGCTGTTGCCACGTTACCTGGGTCCATGGCAGGTCCTAGATACAGTGGGCGTTGATCCCTTCGGTCCGTCGTATGTTATCGACGTCCCGCTACATCTACACACCTACCCGGTCTTTCATGCATCCAAGCTGTTGCCTTTCACTCCAGCATATGCATTTCCTGACCGCCCCGCTCAATTCGGTCCACCGATCCCTGGCAAGGGATATGACGTGGAACGGATTGAGGATGGGTGAGGCATAGGCCCCGATCGGCAGTATCTTGTGAGGTTCGGATTCCAGCCTCCTCCTGAGAGCAGATGGTTCTACAGAAAGGAACTTCTCAAGACAACGAAGTCAATTGTGATGCGATATGAAGCGGCTCAGAAGGGCAACCTTCCTCGCCGTTCAGCTCGCCTGCACCCCTAGCTCGGAGGTCCTCGCTCCCCGGGGGGGTAAGCCTGCAATGACTTGCTGATTTCTACTCCCGAGATTGACTGCGAGGCTGTATAGTACAGCGGTAGGCTAGATTCACAATTTTGTTTGGCTGAGGGCTAACCGAGAGACCTACCTGCGAGGAAATTCGTGAGAGACATATCTGCAAATTCGGGAAAATACAGCCCTAACACTAACTGAGTTTCCTACCACTACCTTAGCTGCGAATAGCAGGCCCGGGCTACCCCTAGGACAGACAGGCCCTAAGGGCCTATGCTGATAGACGGTCCTATAGCCTATAGTCGGGTCCGGTAGAGGCCGAGAGGCC